CCAGCCTTCCTGTGGTTCTGGATGATGTCCATTTTGTCTTTTAGTTGTATTTTTGAAGTGGTTGTGCGAGGCATCAATTTCAGGTGTTTACCTATGCCACCATCTTGGTTTCTTCTTCTAGAGCTCTCATTTTTATGAAGGTAGCAAGCTCAAAATTTTTTGTTTTCAGAGTTTCTGGATTTGCCAGGAAAACATTTTTTGATAGTTAAAGCTTCTTTGTAAAATGATGAGACCTCATACCCCAGCAGTCCCTGCCTGGCCTGAAGTTTGATTCTTGTCAGATGATTTTGCAGAGGAAGTGATGGTGGACCGGGCTCTGGGCTTAACATTTTGAAGTATTCAGATTCTATAGGTTAGTTTGGGTCTGAGAGTGGTGAAATTCAGATTTCTTTGCACCTCTTTTCAGATGCTCTTCATCAGATCTTTAATTAAAAAAAGAAAAAAGCAGCCGAAACCAGTTTGGCTCGGTGGATAGAGCGTCGGCCTGCGGACTGAAAGGTCCCAGGTTCGATTCCGGTCAAGGGCATGTACCTGGGTTGTGGGCACATCCCCAGTGGGAGATGTGCAGGAGGCAGCTGATCGATGTTTCTCTCTCATCGATGTTTCTAACTCTCTATCTCTCTCCCTTCCTCACTGTAAAAAATCAATAAAATATATTTAAAAAAAAAAAAAAAGAAAAAAGCAGAAGCCCTCACTCACACAGAAGCAGCTGTGAAAAGTGAAACTGTGAAGGGACCTCGGCAGCACCAGTGTGTCTCTAACCGGTGTTTCTCTGACTCTCCTTTCTGCTAAGTCAGCTCCACACACTAAACTTTGCTGTCTTCTCCCCAAGTGCCTCCATGCCCAGCGGTCCTGTGAGCAGCCCTGGGAGCGTCCCCACCACTGTGCCCGTGCAGATCCCGAAGCCCAGCAGGGTCCAGCAAGCCCTTGCAGGTAGGCATGCTGCTCTCGGGCTCTGGGGTCTGGAACACAGTGTTTGGCAAGACTTAGGGGCAGTGGGAGGAGATTGTGGGGTGAGGGTCATTACCCTCTGTGTTCTCATGGATACCCAAATGGGCTCCTTTGAGGAGGCAGTGCCTCTTGTCAGTGATGGTGTACACCTGGTAAGTGAGCCTGGGGTACCCTTCCTTTCTCTCTTAGGGGGTGGGTACCCTGCTGTGGACCTTTCCCTATCTTTAAAATTCAAAAAGATTCTTTTTAATTTATTAGTTTTTACGGGGGTTGGGGACAGAGAGAGAGAGAACATCAGTCAGTTTGTTGCTCCACCCATTTCTGATTTTTTTGGTTGACTAGAGGCCCGGTGCATGAAATTTATGCACTGGGTGGGTGGGAGTCCCACAGCCTGGCCTGTGCCCTCTCAGGGAATGTCCGACCAAGGGCTTAGGCCTGGCAGTCGGACATCCTTAGTGCTGCTGTGGAGGTGGGAGAGGCTCTCGCCACACCGCTGCGCTTGCCAGCCATGAGCCTGAATTCTGGCTGAGTGGCACTCCCCCTGTGGGAGCGCACTGACCACCAGGGCACAGCTCCTGCATTGAGCATCTGCCCCCTGGTGGCCAGTGTGCGTGTCATAGTGACTGGATGATTTGCATATTAGCCTTTTATTATATAGGATTCTTGTATGTGTCCTGACCAAGGACACTACTCTAACCAACTAAGCTCCTGGGCCAGGTGCCATCTTTTAAATTTTCACATCATCTTGAATTATGTTTCAAGAATCACGTTCCTATCCTGAAATGTATTAGTCATTTCCTTAAAGGGGCCTCTGGGAAAGTTCCAGAACTATTTTGGCTGGAGTGACATTATGAATAAGTGGCTTTTGTGTCTAGCTAGATCTTTTGTTAACCATACATCTTGGAACTGTTTTTTAAGTTCTTTTTACAGATGTTATGGAGGCACTAAAAGTTATTTTTTACCTTATGAGAAATAAAAGTGCTCTAGAAAGGTAGACTCAATGTAGTGAACCTTCGTCATGTAAAGGTCAAAACGGGGATAAGATGAGCGGAGTGTATGTGTTAGGTGAGTTGCTGTGATAACATGGGGAAGACAGTCCTGGAGGCAGGGAGATCCTTGTGGAGTCTGACTTCATGCCTCAGGTAAGCCAGCCAAGGCCCAGTAGTGCTGTGACAGTGGGATGGAGGTAAGAGCTCTGACTTGGTGATGGACCTGATTGTGAGAGAGAAAGGTAGAACGAGGCCTGGTGTACAGCTGCTGATGGCAGTGCTGTAAGAAATTATTAGTGAGGATTCACTAGGAGCTTTGTATGTGTGTTGATTCACTTCATCCCAATCATAGCTCTGTGAGGTAGGAACTTTATTCCGATTTTACACTTGAGGAAACTGTGGCTCAGAGAATTCCAAAACTTCTCTAGATCAGCCAGCCTCTCCTTGGAGAGCGGGTATGCAGCTTCAAGCATTCTGTCCTCAGAATCTAGCCTTTCAGCTGTTACACTGTGCTGCTCCTGAGTCTGGTGGGAACTTTGGGAGGGGAAGGGGGCAATGGCTGGTATAGATAGATGGAACTGGCCTAGAGGCAGTGGGAGTTTGGATGTGCAGCTCGGACAAGCAATTCAGGGTGGCCTCTTCCCCCCATGGAAGTGTGTGAGCTTACAGGGACCATGGGTGGGACAATGGGAAGAAGAGCCCTGGAAGGAAATGGGAGGATCAATCAGGAAGTTAATCGGAGATGGGAGAGTGGGTCTGGGAAAGCCCCAGGAGCGGAGGCCTTGCACTACAGGCCCTCTGGCACCAGCTTCAGCTGTTCAGCCATTAACCCTCTGCTAGAACAGAGAACAGTGAGCAAGGTGGTGACTAGAAAGTTCTGCCCAGTTTAGGTCTTCTTGTGACATCAGCTGCCATGGATGAGTCAGACTTGTGTGTGTGCATGTTCGCCTGTGTGCATGTGTGTGCGTGCATGTGCTTGAGTGCATGTGTTTGGTGGCAGTCTTGTTGGAGAGAGGTTGTGGGTGAACAGTCTTGGCCTGCACGTTACATGGCTCCATGCCTCTCTCTAATCACTAAGGTTTTAACACACATGTTATAAGAACCTCCAGAAGTGGTCTGGGTATTGAGTAGCTCTAGTTCCCTTTCTTCTACTCTTTTTTTTTCTTTCTTCTACTCTCGAGGCCGAGAACCATGGCATCTTTACTATAGACATTTTTGCCACCTAACTATTGGGCCATAAGGCAGTTTTGCCATAAAAAAGGTAAAATAACTGGTTGACATGTTTTGTTTTGGTTGGTTTGGTTTCTTTTTTGTTTAGTTGGTTTATTTCTCCATTGACAAAGTACTTAAATATAGTGGTGGTTAAAATAGCATTTCTTCCAGATGACGATGATTTGCCCCGAGAGATAGTTGGTTTCTTATTTTGGAACACACAACATTGGGTAGAGAAAGGGAGTTGAACCCACATTTCCCATAGGACAAAGACAAGTAAGTGCTCAGGTACAAGCCACAGAGTAAAATCAGGTATTGGTGCAGTGCCTGACTTTATTCTGTGGCTTGTACCTGATGAACCTGCACACATTTTAAAGGTGTAGTCAAATGGCCCTGGCTGGTGCGCTAAGTGGTTAAAGCAGTGGTCCACACACCAGTGTCATGGGTTCGATTTCCGGTGAAGGGCATGTACCTGAGTTACAGGTTCCCTTCTTGCCCTCTGGACAGGGCGCATGTGGGAGGCAATCAGTTGATGTATGTCTCTCATATCAGTGTTTCCCTCCCTCCAATTCCTTTTTGATGTCCCTCTTTTGTCATGATTTTTTGTTTTTTATGGTAAAATTGCCTAATGTCCAATTAGTTATGCAATGAATGTTTATGGCAAAAATGCTACAGTGAAAGTACCTAAAACTGTTCTCACTGTCCCCCCTTCCTTGACTCTAAGAGCAGTCCTGGAAGTAAGCGGGTATTTTAACCTTCACTTTCCTTACTGGGGAAACAGACCCCAAGGTTCAGGAACTTGGTCCCCGCTAGAAAAGAGTAGAGACTGGATTGGAGCCCATGGCCAGACGCCACCTACCCTGAATGCAGCCTCTGGCTTATACCTATTGTTGGGATTATTGTCTAGGGCACCGGGGACCAAGAGATCCCAGGCCAGCCCCCAAGAAGCAGGGTCTGGAGAGTGTTCTCTCAGCCTGGACTTTGTTTATGGGTTTGGGAGTATGGATTCAGGCACGGCTGCAGTGAGCTGAGTACTTAGACACAGGGTTGTGCAGGTAGGTTTATAAACAAGTGGCCATACTGTTGGACTGTGCCCCTCTGCACTGGTGGAGGAGATCCACAGAGGAGCCACCTCCAGGCCAGGCCAGGAGCGACAGCCTTAGGTGACAGCTTCACTGGCTGTGGCATGGCTGGACCTCTCTTTTGGGGAGTGGGCGATGCTGGGGCTAGGTTCCCACCCTATGAGGGAGGAGGTGTATCTACATTTTATGCTGCTGCAACCTGCCCAGGACTAGTTATCCAGTGAGGAGAGCTGGTGGGCTTGAACCCTGATTGCTAAGGCCAGAGCCAGAGGAGGATAAGCTTAGACCTGAGCTGGTCACTGGACGAAGGCCGATCTTTGGTGCCAGAAAGGGGTGTTCACATATCTGCCTGTGTAAAGGCCTGCAATCTTGGGGGCTCTGACAGATCAGATGAGCGGAGGAAAAGCTGTGGCTCTCTGAGCTGTTACAGTTACTTGGGGATGTTAGGACTTTGGGTAGCTGTCCTGAGCCCTTGCTGTTGGGGAAGATACGATGGTCCGTCTTGGTGTCCCCTGACCATTCTGTCCGCCACACGCTGCTTTCCCACTCTTCCACAAGAAGGCAGGCCTCTGCAGGCTTCTAAGTGGAGACCTGTGTCTGCACCTTGAATTCGAGAGAATGGGTCCTGCCTTGAAGAGGGCAGGAGCGTTGTTCATGTGTGGCCTCTTGGGGATGGTGATGGTGGCCCCAAGGGTAGAGGCCACAGTGGCTGGCATGATGGATCCTAAGGCCCTCTGATTGCCTCTGGAGTGGGCAGCTCTGTCGGCCTTGCTAGGTGGGGAAGTAGGGCTCAGCAGGTCCAGGATCTCCACTTCCTCCCCCAGGCTGTGCCCAGCTCCCTAGCCAGATCCTGAGCATCCAGAATGCCACACTCAGGGAGGTACTCAGAGAAGCCCAGAACTCCCCTTAGGAGGAGGTGCTTTGAGCTAGACTGAGGACCGGCGGGATTGGGGAAGTGCTGCTGTGGACAGCAGAATAGGCTGAGAGGGTGGCAGGAATAGCCACTCCAGTAGGAGGTCATGCTGTGCTCCAGGAAGTGTTGGACCCTCAGGGAGTGCTCAGGGAGCAGTGTGGGATGAGGGTCAGTTAAGAGGCAGGTAGGACAGGTGGAGCACCTGGCTGAGGAGTGAGGCCTCCCCCTGTAGGCACCAGGAAGTATGACAAGAATGGACATCCATCTCAGCTGGGCTGCCTGCTATAGCTCCCTCCCTCTGTGGACATGCCCACCCAGGGCTGAAGGGCTATTTAAGCCTCAGCTGAGGTTACCAGAAGAGGAAGCCGTGGCTTGGGACTTGTGCTGCTCTAGAGGAGCAGTCACCTGGGCCATGGGGACACCTTCGTTGAGGAGTAGGCTCAGGGTCAGCTTTCCTGCTTGCCCACCCCAGCAATGGCACTGAAGCCACTTAGACCACCAGCTGCCAACCTTTCGGACCTCACAGACTACCAGTGGTCCACGGGCCACCGGTTGGCGACTGCTGACCGCAGTCCGGTTAGGGTACAGAAAGCATACCATGCTCCCTGGAGGCAGTGACTAGGAGCCAAGGGGGTGTGCAGGGAGAACATGGGGAGGATTGTGAGCTTGAGAGTCCCTCCATGTTTCCGTAGCTTGGCTGCACCCTTCCATGTTGCCCTTTTGCTCTTTCTCCGTGCCTGGCATGGGGAGACACCACCCGGAACTGCTCAGGAGGCTTCCCAGGGTGGCACTGTGCCCTACGTCCTCCTGAAGCAAACGGCCTCGCCCTCCTGCATGCTCTGGGTGCAAGCTGATCAGTTGCTTGGATAGACACCTGTGGAACTTGGGGCCAGGACTCCAATGAGCCAGGCATCTCACGGGCTTGCCTGGAGCTTTGCCCTGCCAGCCTGGATAGGTCCTGGCAGCCTCAAGCCTCCAGATTCTCCAGGGAGACCAATGGGTCCTGATGGCCGTTCACAGTGCTACCTGGACTCAGCTGGGGTTTGTGGACATCACGCACCAATTGACTCCTCCTAATGTTTCTCCCCTCTGCATGTCTGATCTCACACCCCGTGTAGGCATGACGAGTATTCTGATGTCAGCCATCGGACTCCCTGTGTGTCTTAGCCGCGCACCCCAGCCTGCCAGTCCTCCCGCCTCCTGTCTGGCCTCTAAAAGTCACAGCTCAGTTAAGAGATTGAGGAAAATGTCCATGAAAGGTAGTTTCTGCTCACAAATACTCTCTGGCCTCTGCTCAGCCGCCTCCAAGTCTTGCTGCCTCTGACTTCCGCATCAGTCGCTCTTCTCTGACTCCCATGGCCCTTCTCCGCTTCCTTCACCTGCTGGGACGTGGGCCCCGAGCCCTTCTCCCCGCTGTCCCCGAGTTCAGGTCCTGTCTCCCTGGCACAGACGGCAAGTGGCCTGTTTTCAGACTGTGACTTTGTAAACACAGGTGCGGGGTAAAGCCTGCTCCAGGATGAGGGATAACTCTGTCCCTTCCCTGGGGCCAGTGTGTGTCTCAGGAAAGGCCCCCAGACCTGTCTGGCCCCCCGGGTGGGTCTACTTCACAGGGGTCCCCATGACCACTGCCCTGTCCATCACCCTGCTGGGGAAGAAGTGGTTTCAGAACCACTGTGAGTTTTAACAAGATTTGGGTGAGAAGTTCTAAACCTGTCATTTCTAAAGCCGTTTGTGGCTCCAGCTCCATCATGGGGCCAGGGAAGCATGGACTGCTGAGAGCCAGGGACCTTCGGGATGATGTGGGCAGGCAGCACGGCCCTGGCTCAGCCAGTCCTGGGTTTTGTCTTGGTTCCAGCACTCACCAGCTTTGTGATCTCACGCAAGTGTCTCCTCCATTCATGAGCCGATGCCTCCTACTTAGCTGATTGGTTGTGGGAGGAGTAGACGGTATACACAGGGAGCACCTGGCACATAGTGGGATGGCTGCTCTGATCATGTCCACCGCCCGTCTAACCGGCACCCCCTAGGAGAGATGAAAGGCCCAGGGAGGGGGCAGGGCTTTA